CAGGGTTATTGCGTATGCCAGTCGAGCTCTGAAGGGATCAGAGAGGAACATGACAAATTACAGCGCCATGAAACTAGAACTTTTGACATTAAAATGGGCTGTGACTGAGAAATTCAGGGACTATCTATTAGGTGCTAAATGTGTGGTATACACTGACAATAACCCCTTGAGTCACCTAAAGACAGCAAAGTTGGGATCCATCGAACAGCGATGGGCAGCAGAATTGGCACTCTTTGACCTAGAGATAAAGTATCGCCCGGGGCGGTCCAATGGCAATGCGGACGCCTTATCAAGGAATCCTTACGAGAGACCGGGTGATGAGGAAGAAACGCTGACAGGAATATGTGAGGTCAGAGCGTCAACAGATATCCCTCATGGGGTACAAGTGATGCAAAACGGGCAGACCGGGGTGGAGCACATATCCACAGAGCCCGAACATATGGACAGTGGTGATTTTAATTGCCTTAATCACAAAAAGATAAGAGATGCCCAGAGAACGGATAGTGGCTTACAACCGCTATTGAAATACGTCCAGGAACAAAAATTCCCAGGAAGAAGGGAAAGAGAACAATTTGGTCGAGAAACAAAGAAAATACTGAGTCAGTGGGACCGTCTCAGTATAGAGGATGGTGTTCTCATGCGGAGAATTCATGACCAAATTGATGGGACAATACACCAGGTGGTGGTGCCTGGACAGTTACGAGAAGAAGTGCTAAGGTTGGCACATGACAGGGCAGGACACCAGGGTCAGGACAGGACGCACAAAATATTACGACGGAGGTGTTACTGGCCCAATATGGAAATGGAGGTCAAACGCCATTGTGAGGCTTGTGTGAGGTGTCAGCATGCGAAAATGCCAGTTGTCAAAATGAGACAGCCATCAGGACACCTACTAGCGACAAAACCACTAGAGATTGTGGCTATGGACTTTACGTCGTTGGAGCAATCATCGGATGGGACGGAACATGTGTTGGTAATGACTGATGTATTCACCAAATGGACGGTGGCGGTGCCCACGCGAGATCAGACTGCCAAAACAGTGGCAAAGGTCTTAATAGAACATTGGTTCATCAAATATGGCATACCAAGACAATTACACTCTGACCAAGGAAGGGCTTTCGAGTCAGAAGTAATTAACCAACTGTGCAGCCACTACGGGATCAACAAATCTAGAACAACCACATTTAATCCGAAAGGAAACGGACAGTGTGAACGGTTCAACCGCAGCATGCATGATTTGCTGCGTACGCTAGAACCTGAACAGAAAAAACGTTGGCCTGATTTTCTCCCAGAGTTGGTATATCTATACAACTGCACACCCCATGCCACAACCGGCTTTGCGCCACACGTTGCTGTTCGGACGGGAGGCTCGACTCCCTCTTGATTTGTTCCTAGGAAAAAGGGAGAGTATGACTGGCTCATACACCGCACTGGAATATGTGAATGAACATATGAGAAGAATTAGAGAAATGTACAGGGTAGTACAGGAAAGACTAGAACATGAAGCACGGCGAAGGGAACCGCCGGTACAGACAAAGGACCCGCCACTCAAACTGAATGACAGGGTATTACTGCGTAGCCACCCGTTAGGCAGAAACAAAATCCACGATCTCTGGGGACAGGAGATATGGCAAGTCGTGGAGATGCCTAAAGTAGCAGGTGGCCCCTTTAAGATAAGACCCATCGATCACGCCAAACCGGATCGGTGGGCGAATATTGCTCAATTAAAGAAATATTGGAATAGGCAAGAAGAGCAGTTACACACAAGGAAATCCAAGACAATTAGGGAACCGGAAACTATAACGGAAATTCACATACCCATCCCGGAACCATATCACCATCAACAGAACAACCGCGATACACAAGTGGAGGATAACGGCAACAAAGAGGATCCCGTTCCTTCCAGAAGCAGAGAGACAGTAGACCATCAGATAAGTGGTCCGCGGAGAAGTTTGAGGAACAGAAGGAAGACGAAATTTTTTGTCAGCAACCATCAAGTCTTTCATGGTCGCGCTGGTATGAGAACAGACGGTTCAAAAAAAGCTATAAAACTGAACTGGTGAAGGCACCAAACGAAAAGGGTGGATGTGAATTCTAGAACTGTTTTGTGTCTCAGGAAGACGATGTAGACACAGTTGATATGTGAAATAGGTATAACTGTCAATCGTATACGAATGGGACGTCGTGGACAGTGAGTGGAACAATAAAATTTTTTTTTACGATTGTGCGATTGACTTTGGAGGAATGCACCTGCCAGGCGTTGTTTGTGGTTGAAAACACACAAAAAAAGGCAGGGGTGGATGTAACTAGGGTAGGCCTAGCTACTAGTTACAAATCTGATAACGAACGATAAGCCGAGACGCAGTATTACAGTCTGATGCAACCGATAGCAGGTGGCTTATTGGATCGGACTGATAACAATCTCAAAGCCAACGCGTGCTATTTTGGGAAACGGTACGAGGGGATTCAGACGGCCTGTCAACTTTGATTGATAGGATGCAGATGTTTATTACACGGACTGTACGTTAGAACTGCGCAACTAGTGGTCGGCGACATCGAGTACAAGTATCGATTACGGAGGAATACAAATACGAAGACGAGTATGAATACAAGGGATAAATAGGAGGGGACGGCTGAACTCGTTCTCTTCCCTCTTCATCGCTCGCTTTAGATCAGTCAGTCTGTGTGACATATCAAGTTGGTTATATTGTGTTAAGAAGGACAATAGACATGTGGATTCAGTTATATGAAGCCTAGTGAGGACTGTTAGGGGTCAGTTGATTCAGACTATTATTGTGAAACATTCCTGTTGATTCATTGTGTTATATTGAAGCATTTCTTGATTCATGTAATAAAAGGATCAATAGCGAACCTGCATCTTCGAGTCTTTCTACTGTAGTCGATGTTGTGTAGCATGAGTGGTTCAACTCGTTACAATTGGCGTTGTCGGGCAGGATAGACTCGGGGAAGGTTACATATATATATATATATATATATATATATATATATATATATATATATATATATATATATAAATATATATATATATATATATATATATATATTTATATATATATATTTATATATATATATATATACATATATATATATATATATATTACAGTCAAAGCCCAAAGTGCGGCCAATGTGCGCATTGGTCGGCTCTCTTGGCCAAAGCCCGAAGAGCTGAGCACTGAGAGCGTATTTCGTACATTGGCCGGCCAATGCGCACACTGCCGGGACGTGATGGCCAAAGTTCGAAAAGTTTAAAATTGACAAAGTATTCGCCCGGAATGTCCTATCTAGAATAATTTGTGATCGCGTTTTCATTAGTCTGGATGATGTTTCATTGTGAGTAACGTATTGTTTGGCTGTTTGTACAACATTCTATATTCAATGCGACATGGACCAAAGGGCCGTCAGATCAAGTGACAGACATACCAGATGGCTGCCAAATAAATAATCCAATTCCTAATGGAAGAGAATTTGTTCACGAAAATCCAAGGCATAGCCAAAGCCAAGTGTAGTTTGTGAAAAATATTGTAGTGCCCATTCTTGTGGATCCTGTGGCAACGATGTCCATGCAATATGCGGAATAGCCAATGAAGCAGACGAAGGTTACGGAGGGAAAATTACTTGCATATTATGTCACAATATACAAGAAATCATGGACAAAAGGCATCTCATACTAGCTTGCAAACTCAATGTGCCAAGACGCTAAAAAAAAATCAGATACAAATTTTAAACAAGCTGAAGTGGGAGATAATGTTCGCATCTGTATACCAGATGTAGACAGAAGTCGCGGTGATCCCCGAAGCGTGATTGCAGTTGTCATGAGCGTCGAGGGCGCTTTCTACAAGCTAGGAACGGAACATGGTGTTCCAAAACAACTATATGCTAGAAGTGAGTTTTCAATTCTTCACGAAAAACTGCTCTCATTGACGTCCGTTGGCACTAAGGAAAAATCACTTCGAACCATCGCATCTTCAGTCACTGACGGCGGCCAAGGCTACCTTTGCTGCAATAGCACAACCAAACGCACAACAAATCGCAGCAAGTGTAAAAATAACAAGCTACTATGTCATTCTAAATGCCATAAAAGTTCAACTTGTAACAAGTAATAATATTGATTGAGACTATAGTACAATAAAATAATTTGAATGTTTCTGTTATTTAATTTCATTAATCAATAAAGACTTAATTTCGTGATCCTTACGGTGTGAAAAAAAAACCCAAATCTGCTCATGACTTTGGCCGGTCCACCATGTCCAGTCAGCGGACTGGCCGGCCAAAGGCCGAAATCAATTTAAGTTTGACCGTAACATATATCATAAGCCTTTATTTCAAAATATAATGTAAGATTTCAGTGGGAAAATGGATGATTTAATTATTAACATCATAACAAGCTAATTGTTTTGATTAAAAGTAAATAAAGGTAATAATGTCAACAGACATTCCTTCACAATCAGTACCTTCAGTCCAGAATCTTCTCGCACCCCTCCACGACAGATAGAATTAGTTTCAAATTTCTTTTTTTAGAAAATATATAATTCAATCAGTTTCGGCATCTCATTCTCCTCCTCCCCCCACCTTCCCTCATACACCCCGAGAAAAAAGATTCAAAGAAATACTGTGCACAACACAAATGAGCGAAAATTCTTCTTTCACATTGCTCGAAACTATTACTTCAACTTAATTTCGAGGTAAAAAAAAAATCTTAAATTGCATTTGCATTTCCAAAAAGCAATGTTCTTCAAAAATGTTTAACTATAAAACTAAATATCGAACATAAAAGGTAGGCAAATGAACTTGAATTTCAAGTCTAAATTTTATATTCTATTTTATTATTCTAAAGACTTGTGAAACAGATTCTTTATATAATTATGAAAGTATAAAAACAAATATTTTTTATGCAATGATAATCAATTATTATATCACAGTTCAAAAGCTTTTTAACATATAGCTGCTTTTCAACAAATAAAAGCGTGGTGATTTTAAAAAAATAGCTTATCTTATTGCATTATGTCTGCTAGTGAATTAGCATTGGTGTCTGAATGGAGCTCTTCGCATTTTTTCAATTTAGCGAAGGGGAACACTGAACAGTCATTCAAATCATCACTACAAGGCATACTATTATAATTTACATTAGTGTCCAGGTGATCTTCTGATATAATTGGAACAGCATTAAACTCACATTTCTGAGCAATTGTCAAATTGTGCCTTGTAGTAACTGCGGTTTCACAACTTTGATGTTTGTTGTCAGAATGTTTCCTCATTAATCTTTTACCAGTTATGGAGCTACTTATGAAGCAAGATGTTATCCCTTTGCTTGTAGCACTACCATCTGCAAATCTGGTTCCACAATGTTTTATAACATCACCAGTAGCATAAGCTATATCTTCAACTGGTACTATTTGATAGTTCCATGCGTCTTGATGACACCAAGCATAATAAACAGCACCTGCTACTAGAATAGCTGTAGTAGCCGCTACCATAACACCTGCTGCAACATAACTTCGATTTCGGACACCTAACAAAAAAGAATCCTGGATTTCTGCAAAAAAGAATTTAATAATGCTAAACGTTAAGTAGTCATTTTGAAAATATTTTTAACAAGTTGTTAAATATAGTAGTTTATAATAGTTGTTTAGGTTGGGTTTTTTAAGTATCTTATGAAAGCACACATACATCTTTATTACTACACTGATTAAAATAGTATAATAAACGTATATATGAAGCAGATAAATTGAATTCTCATGATTTTTTAAACATTGCCACAACAATTCCAAAACATGGAACAGCAGGGTTTGGTGGT